CTGGGCCCACGAGGTCGGCGTGCTCGGCGCGGCGGCGGCCTGGGTCGACTGGCGCGACGATCTGGGCGACGACCCGCCGTCGCCCGGCGACGACGAGCCCGACGGCGCGTGCGTCGTCGCGACGTTCGGCGCGGACCAGCGGTTCCTGGCCTGGAAGCTCGAGGAGGAGGTGCTGCTCGACGTCCTGTCCGTCGGCGGCCTGGGCGGCGTCGCGTGGCGCGCGGAGTACGAGACCGCGGTGCACGTGGCCAAGTTCCTGGGCCACGACGCGCACGAGCCGCGCTTCGACGCGTCCGCCGGCGCGGAGCTCGCGACGCTCGACCGAGGCGCGGGCCGCCTGCGGACCTGGCGCGCGCCGCCGGGCCTCCAGCGCGGGCCGCCGGCGTGCTCGGGCACGCTCGTGGCCGGCGAGCTCACGGGCTGCCGCGTCGCGCCGACGCGCTTCGAGGCCTTCGAGCTCACGCGGTGCGCGTGGCCGCCCGGCCGCGACGGCACGGCGCTCTGCACGGCCGATAGTGAGGGCACGGTGGCGACGTGGCTCCTGGACCCGCCCGTGGCGCGCGGCACCAAGGCGGGCGCCGCCGAGGAGCCCGCGCGCCGCGGCGAGGCCACGGAGCCCGACGCGGTGCACCTCCAGGCGCGGTGGTCGTACCACGACGGCGTGGGCCCGCGGAGCGTCGCCTTCTCCTGGCCCGGCGGGCCCGTCGCGTCCTGCGACGTCTTGGGCCGCCTCTACCGCTGCGACCCGGCGACGGGGCAGCGCGCGCACCGCGACGCGCACACGTTCCTCGACTGCGACGGCGGCTGGGCCTACGCGGATCTCGGGCCCCGGGCCTACTTCCCCCGGGGTCGCGCGCCGCCGCGGAACCCGGTCCCCCGCGAGCCCGACGCCTGGTGCCTCGTGAGCTTCCGGGGCAAGACGCTCGTCGCCTACGACCCGGCCCGCAACGGCTGCGAGGAAATCGTCGACCTGCCGGGCCACTGCCAGACCGTCGTCTGGTGCGCGTGCGACGCCGTCGACGTCTGGGGGCCAAACGAGCCCCGCCAGCTCCGCGTGACCTGCGTCTGCACGGGCGGCGTCGCCTTCGTCTGGGCCGCGACGGCGGCGCACCCCGACGGTACCCGGACCGCGCCGGGCAGTGTGGAAATCAACCACTGGTTTCGGGGGTCCCCACCAAACTTCAGAACTCTCTATCTCGGTCACATCGAAGTCGATTCCGCTGATTTTTGGACGAATCGATTGCTCTCGTCGTGTTCTCGAAGCACGGCGAAAGAGTCCGGTCCAAACCGTTCGATGACGCGCACATTGAAGTCGGGTTGAAGATGTGGAATCCACGCAGGCGCCGGGCGGCTTCTACGAGTGCTCCATGCCCGTGGGCCGCGACGACCCGCACCGCGAGGTCCACCCGGACTACTCCGGCGCGGCGGCGAACCGCGTCTTCCGCGCCGTCATCGACGCGCGGAAGAGCCGGCGCCAGGGCGTCCACCGCGCGACGATGAAGCGGTCCGACTCGGCGCGGAGAACTCGAAATCTTCGAGATGACTTCAACGCGCGCGTACGAGACTCTTCGGCCGTGCGTCGAGAACCCGACGAGCGCAGTCGATTCGTCCACACCCGAATCGACTTCGACCGAGCTCGAGCGTTCCGGAGTTCGGCCCCGGCGTCGCCGCTCGACGGTCGGCGTCCGCGCAGGTCCTACTTCGGGTCGAAGCCGGGCCTGAACCTGCGGCGCCACGTCGACATCTCGGGCCTGACGACGCACGTCACGGCCGAGGACCACCACGTCGTCGTCGCCTGGAGCCGGCGCCGCGTCGGCGTCTGGCGCGACGACCGGGGCAACCGCGAGCGCCTCGCGTACGCGCTCGTGGCGACGCTGGACCTCAACGCCTACTCCGTCGTCGCCGCGGCGAGCGTCCACGGCCAGTGGCTCTACGCCGCGTCCCAGCACGGCTGGCTCCACGCGGCGTGCCTCGACGGCGTCTTCGGCGCGTCGGACGAGCCGGCGTCGCCGAAGCGGCGGAGCCCGGCGGAGGCGCCCGACCCCCCCGCCGCCGACGCGCCGCGGGCCGCCGCCGAGGCCGCGGCCGCGGCGGCGCCGCCGCCGGCGGACACGCTCCAGCCCCTCGGCCGGCGGCCGACGAACGCGCGCGCGCGCGCGTCCGTGCGCGCGCGCGGCGGCGCCGCGGCGAGCCGGTCGCCGTCGCCGGCGCTCTCGGAGGCGTCGGAGGCCGACGGCGCCGCCGGCGGCCTGCGGCCCTCGGCGTCCGGCGCCGAGAGCCTGCTCCAGTTCCAGCCAGGGCCGCAAAAGAGAGCGACATTCCCAACTTCAAAGGCTCATAGCTCGGCCGTTTTCCACTCGTTTCGGCTGATTTTTGGACGAGCGATCATCTCTCGGAACGGCCTCGAAGCGTGGATGCTTTTTCCGGAACGCGCGCGCGCGGAACACTCACTTTGAAGCGACGTTGAATCACTCTTGTGCTGCCCAGGTTCCAGAAGAAGCGGCGCGAGACGAACGCGGCGCAGAACGCGTCCATCGCGCGGGCCCGGCGGTCGACGACGCGCGGCACCATCATGCCGGGCATGGCCCGCCGCGCCTCGAGCCGCGGGCTCCAGCTCGACCAGTCCCGCGCGGGCGGCGAGCGCGCGGTCGTCAACGCGGGGCAGCACCGCCGCGTCGAGACGGGCGCCAACGCGCCGCCGACGGCGCCCGTGGGGCAGCAGCGCGCGGCGCCGCCGCCCTACATCCCGCCGGGGGCCTAAGTCCGCCGGCGAGCACCGTCGGAGGCCGGAGGGAGGGGGGGGGTGGCGTAGGTTCCTTAAGTACTTGGTTCCTTAAAGGTTCGGGCCCTTGGTTCCTCAACCGATCGTCAATCCTTACGTACTCAAGGTCATGTTTACGCCGTCGCGATAAGTTGCAGGCAAAACCGCAGGAAGAGTCCATGAAGCTAACACCGGCCACATTTCCCTCTATGCCCTAATTTTCACAACCACACACTACGATACCATGTTGGTGCGTATATGAGAAAAAGCTAACAGCAACCTCTCCGTCGGAGCCAGTGCCCAGACGAGGATCGAATTGCTCGATGGATGCCCCGACCGAGGGCAGCGTCCGGGGCGGCTCCGAGGACGAGGGAAGCATGACCGCGCGCCTCCAGCGGGCGGCCGCGCACGGGTCGATCGGCGGGCGCGTTAGGGGAAGATTAGGAGCCAACCGCTACGTGGCGCGTCGTCGGCGAAAGGAGCCGCCGCGCGCCGGCCGACGCTCCGCCGCAGGTGCACGAGCGGGGCCGCGAGGCCCGGTGCCGGTACCGCTTCTGCCGCGGGCTGATCCCGGAGCGCGAGCCGCGCATCGGCAAGATCCCGCCCAAGCTCGCGGAGGACCGGCGGTGCGAGGCGTGCGGCCCGGGCGAGGACTCCGAGGACTCCGGCGCCGAGGGCTCGCCGCGGCCCGCCGCGGGCCCCCGCCACGGCAAGGCGCAGTGGCGCGGCGCCGGCGCGGCGCGCGCGCGACGCGCCGGCGCGACGCCCGCGCGCGCGCAGGTTCCACCCGCGGTGCGGCTTCCTGGCCCTGCGGCACCTCCGGGGGAGCAGGACCATCGAGGCGGCCGAGGACCTCGAGCTGCTCGACGACCTCGCGCCGGAGCTCCGCGGCGCCGTCCTGCGGCTCTTCGACGAGCACCTGGCCTGGCGCGCGCCGGCGCGCCGCGGCCGCGCCCGGGCCGCGCGACGAGCCCCCCGCGCAGGTTGGCCGAGCACCGGCGGCGGCGCGGCGAGCCCCCGCCGCGGGGCGCGCGGCGGCCGTGCGACGCGGCCGACGGCGACGGCGCGGACCGCGCGCCGAGCCCGCGGCCGCTCGCGCGCGAGGCCGACGGCGACGGCGCGGACCGCGCGCCGAGCCCGCGGCCGCTCGCGCACGAGGTCACGTCGGAGCTCGAGGACCGCGCGCCGAGCCCGCGGCCGCTCGCGCACGAGGTCACGCCGGAGCTCGAGGGCCGCGCGCACGTCGAGGCCGCGGCGGCCCTCCTCCGCGACGCCGCGCCGATTTCGGAGCCGCCGGCGATCCTCGCGCGGACGGCGAGCGGGCTCCTCGCGCTCTACCCCGGGGACGGTGGCGGCGGCTCGCCCGCGTCGCGGTCGTCGCTGTCGTCGCTCGACCGCGCGTCGCGCGCGGGCTCCGAGCCCAGCTCGACGTCGTCCTACGCCGAGGCGGCCGCGGCCATCGCGCGCGCGGGCGTCGTCGGGCACCGCGCCGGCGCCGCGGCCGGGATCTACCGGGCCCTGTCGGACCAGTCCCTCGACGACGGGCCGGCCACTCTCGCCGCGCTCGTCCGCGCGGACCGCGTCCACGCGAGCGCGGACCGCGTCCACGCGAGCGCGGACTCGCTCCTCGCGCTCGCGCCCGGGGACGCGCGGCGCCGCGCCGGCGACGCGCTCCGCGGCCGCTTCTTCGTGCCCGCGGGCCTCGACGCGCTCCAGCTGCCCCTCCCGCAGAGCTTGAGCGAGAACTCGCTCCTCCGGCTCCTCGCGCGCGGCGGCGACGGCGACTCGCCCACGCTCGACGACGCCTCGAGGTCCAGCGGCGGCGAGGGGCCCGGCTACGAGCTCTGACGCCGCGGCCGTCGTCCCCGGAGTCGGTCCCCGCGGCCCGAGCTTCGCGTCGCGTCTTTCGCTGACCCGCCTGCCCCGCCCTCGCAACAAAAACGCGGGACTCCTCGCCGAGGAGTCCCCTCCACTTGTTTGCCCGCTTTTCGACCACCACCTCTTCCCCGGTTTTGAGTCCAAGTTTTGACCAACGCACCCAGAGAGTACCTTCACTCCGCACGCACCCAGCTACTTAGTAAAGACCAACTCGCCTACGATCTCCCCAGAGAGCGCCGTCCCTCCGCGCACCCTGGCTAGACTCGGGTCGCCGGACCCGGACGCGCGCGATCGTGGTTAGCGGGGGGGGCGATGGATTGGGCGCTCAGAGCGCGCCGGGCACGAGCGAGAGCTCGCCGACCCAGTTCTCGCCCGCGGCGAGGGAGACGGGGTCGAAGGCGACGGACTCGACGCAGAGGAAGTTTTTGTAGCCCATGCCCTCGTCGCCGTAGGGCGACCAGAGGACCGTGTCCTTCCAGCCGGCCTTGTTGTCGATCGTGAGCGCCTTGCCCTTGCCCTTGTCCTTGAGGACGGGGTCGTTGCTGCCCTTGTAGACGCGGTCGTACTCCTCGCCGACGGTGATGACGTCGCGCGTCTCCTTCGTCTCCTTGGGCGGGTCCTGCATCTTGTCGAGGAACGTCTTGCCCTTGAACGAGCCCGCGATGGACGTCGCGTTGATGTCCGAGACGTCGAAGTAGGAGTGGAGCGCCGCCTGGAAGTCGAAGGAGTCGCCGCTGCCCGTGTTCGTCACGGTCATCTTCGTGTCGAGCGACGCCGCGGAGAGCGCGACCTCGAAGTCGACGACAAAGGGCTCGTCCCACATCTCGCGCGTGTACGCGGACGGCGCGAGGCGGAACGTCACGGAGGACCCCTCGGTCTTCACGATGTCCCAGTCGACGTTGCGCGCGAAGCCGTGCTGCTGGATCGCGCCGGGGCCGAACTGCGGGAAGCAGTGGCTCAGGCCGCCGGAGATGGGCTTCGACCCGTCCATCTTCGCGTCGGGACGGACCGCGATCCACTCCGTGCCGGACGCGTCCTTGTAGGACGTCACGTCGGCGCCGTAGACGAAGGCCTTGGCGCTCGCGCCGCTCTCGTGCTCCAGCGCCACGTAGTAGAGGCCCTCGGCGTCCTTCTCCAGGTACGCGCCGGACTTGGGGCCGTCGTCGTCGCCGGCGCGGCGGAGCGTCGGCGCGCGCGCCGACCCGCGGGGCGCCGTGAAGGCCCGGGTCGTCGCGAGGAGCGCGAAGGCGGCGGCGCGCATGGTACCGGTGGCTGGCGGCTGTGCGACGACGATTGACGCGAGCTCGAGTGCGAGCGCCTCAACAACCTCGCGATCCTGTGACGCCACAGCCGATTTGTGAAGTTCATGATGCGGCAGGCTCGCCTTGTTGATTGGTTCTTTTTGCGGGGCAGCCTCTTGGACCATACTCGTCGCGGCATGAAGCTCTCGCTGCTTGCTGCTCGCCGCCGGCGCGTCGGCGTTCGCGCTCGACGCGCGCTTCGGCGACCGCGACGTCGCGAAGACGCCGACGCTCGGCGCGTTCTGCGCCAAGATGACGGACAGCATGTTCGAGAACGGTGCGGCGAACCCGACCCAGAAGATCGCCTACGACCTGTGCCTCGACACGAGCAAGGCGTCCTGGAGCCGCACGGAGACCGACGGCTCGAAGCAGATCTTCAACGGGAGCCACCTCTTCACGCTCGACAACGCGTCCCACTGCAAGGTCGTCGTCCAGGCGCCGGACACGAGCGCCATGCCCTTCACGATGCCCGTCGTCGACGACGGCGCGGCGAAGAACGGCACGGCGACCGTCGACGGCGTCGCCGTGACCGTCTACCACATCAAGCGCGCGGCGGCGCACAGCGGGTCGTTCTTCCAGCCGGCGGAGGACATGTACTGGTCAGCGTCCTGTGGCCGTGACAATTTTCGAGAGATTTCGGCTGGGAAAACGATGAAAAATCGTTACCGTCATGCTTGGTAGGTACTGGTTCGTGCGCGACGACAGCGCGCTCGTCCAGTCGGAGTGCGTGATCGCCAAGCAGGACGGCTACCCCATGAGCACCAAGGCGTACCACGACTACTTCGCGCGCGGGGCCTACGAGGCGACGGTGCCGGCCGACGCCTTCGACCCGCCCGCGGGCGCCGACTGCGTGATGCCCGGCCACATGGTCGAGCGCGACGCGTCCAAGTTCAAGTCCTGCGCGGGCTGCGTCGACACCGACGGCGTCAAGTGCTGCGCCGAGTCCAACGCGACGACGCCCTACTGCCTCAAGACGACGTCCTGCGAGAGCCTCCCCGCGTTCCTCTGATTGATCCCGGAAGACGCGCGATTCGAGCGCGCCGCGCTCCGCCCGCCCCCAAGTAGCGGCGGGCGTTACATCCCCGGCCCCCCAGACGACCTAGCGCGCCGCCCCGCGCGGCGGCGGCTCGCGGCCGTAGCCGTAGCGCTGGGCGAGGCCCCAGACGCGGTCCGCGAGCTCGGCGTCGAGGCCCGCGAGGCGGTCCCAGGTGACCTTGAGGCTCGAGCCGCCGTGGTTGCCCGTCTCGAAGGACTGGGACGCGCGCGTCGCCGTCGCCGCGCCGCGCTCGCACTTGGGCCGCGCGACGCCCGCGGCCTCGCAGAGCGCGACGTAGTCCGCGCGTTCGATCTGGAAGCGGACGTCGGCGACGGGCTCGATCATGGCGTTCCAGGAGAGCCAGTAGACGCCGAAGCCCCGCAGCAACGCGTCGACCGACGCCGCGGGCCAGTCGCGGCCGCCCATCTTCTTCGCCCGGTTCGTCTTGCGGTTCGCGGCGATGGACCTGCGCGGTACGCGTCCTCGAGCGGTTTCGGACCAACGTAGGTCGCCGCGCGTCGAGGCAACGACCCGTCCAAACATCGGCCGGAACGACGCCGATCGAGCTCGCGCGCGCGGCACCGGCGGCCGCGTCCCGCGCGGCGGCGCGCGCGCGCGTGGCCCCGCTCAGGTCCCAGGCCGACGCGTTCCTCGGCGCGGCCAGGGGCGGCACGGTGAACTCGTCGATGTGGACCCAGCACTCGACGCACTGGCCGAAGGCGACGGACGAGCTCAACACCTTGAGCGGGTGGCGGACGACGTGCGCGAGGACCCGGTAGCTGCAGGGGCTCGTGCTCTGGAGCCGCGCCCACTCGACCATGGGCGGCCTCAGCGCGTTTCCCCTGAAGCCCCAGGCGTCGTAGGCGCCCCAGGCTTTGAGGAGCGACGGGCCGTGGCGCGCGGCCCACGACACGAGGATCGCGGCGTCGGGCTTGGGCACCTCGTGGCTCACCTTCTTGACGACGCGCATGCCCCCGAGGAAGGCCTGGATGAAGTGGGTCCCGGACCCGCCGCAGCCCGTCACGAAGAGGGGCCGCACGCACGCGCCGCGCGCCGCGCCGGCGCCGGCGCCGGCGCCGCCGCCGGGCCGCCGCCGGGGCCCGCCGGGCCGCGCGCCGCCGCGGCCGCCGGGCCGCCCGCCGGGCGCCAGCAGCGCGCGGCGCGGCTTCGCGAGCGGCGGGTAGGCCGCGGGCTTCGGCGCGGCGTCGTCGGCGCAGGAGGCGTTGTGCTTGAGCATGAAGCGCTGGTAGGCGCAGGTGCCGCCGACCTCCTCGAGCGCGCGCGCCTGGTAGGCCAGGTACGACGCGAGGGGCGAGGAAACGGTGGGAGACGTCGCCACGGCCAGGACCACGAGGCGGAGGCTGCCCCAGCCAGCGCGGCGGCGGCCCATCGTTGCCGGGGAAGCCGCACCGGGAAGTGCACCGGGTCGACGGTGAATCGCTGAGGGCGCGCGAAGTCAGGCGCGAAGTTCAGGTCGTCGCCGCCCGCGCCGCCCGCCGCCGCGCACCCACCACCACCCGCGCCGCCGGCCGCGCGTCGCCCGCGGCCGCCGCGGCGAACGACCCGCGCGCCGCGCCGCCCTAAAAAAAACCTCGTAACCGTCGGGACCATGTCGTCGAAGATCCAGTTCCGGTTCCAGTCGTCCAAGGCCTTCGACGCCATCACCTTCAGCGGGCTCATGATCAAGCTGCTCGAGCTGAAGCGCGCCATCGTGGAGAAGCTCAAGCTCGACCGCGCCCACATGGACTTCGACCTCGCGGTGAGCAACGCGCAGACGAAAGAAGCGTACGGCGACGACAACATGATGGTACCCAAGAACACGTCCGTCGTCGTGCGGCGCGTGCCCGCGACGGGCCAGACGGGCCTGCTGGCGCGCCTCGAGGCGGGCAAGGGCCGGCTGGTCGGCCGCGCCGCGCGGCCCATCGACGTGCCGTCGCGGAAGGCGGACGACGCGCGGCGGTCCGCGGGCGGCAACCTGACCGTCGGCCGGCCCCGCGCGGCGTCGGACGCGAGGCGCGACGCGGAGACCGACGCCATCCTCACGAACGTGAGCGACGCTTTGGCGGAGTTCAAGCCCAAGGTGCCCGGCGGCGGCCGCGGCTTCGGCCAGGCGTCCGGCGGACCGGTCGGGGGAACGGCCGGCGGCCGCGGCGCGGGCGGCAAGGGCAAGGGCGGGGGCATCTACGGCCCCGGCGGCGGCGTCGCGGGCCTGTTGACGACGCCGCCGCCGGCCTACGTCTGCCACCGCTGCGGCAAGACGGGCCACTTCATCCGCGAGTGCCCCGAGAACAACAACCCGGATTTCGTGAACCAGCCGCGCGTGCGCCACGGCGTGCCCGGCGTGCCCCGCACCTTCCTCCAGCCCGTCGCCGACGGCGCGACCTTGGACGAGGGCGGCTCGACGCTCGCGCGCGACCCCGAGGGCAACGTCGTCGTCATCGCGTGCGACACGAGTCGCTTCGACCGCCTCGTGCAGCAGGGCGCGGGCAACGCCGCGGGGGGCATGGACGCGAGCGACGTGGCCGCGATGACGCGCGACGCGCCGGCGCACTATCTGTGCCGCATCTCCGAGAAGCTCCTCGACGACGCGATGATGCTGCCCTGCTGCGGCGAGTCGGTGTCGTACGCCGCGGCGTTGAAAGCTCTAGCCGGCGGCCGCTGCCCCTTCTGCCGCGCGGCCACGTCGCCGGACAATCTGGTGCCGAACAAGCAGCTCCGCACGGCCGTCGCGCAGTACACGGCCGACTGGTCCCGGGCCGACAAGGCGCGCCGCGAGCGGCTCCGCGACGACGCGTTATTAAGGCGCGAGGCCGAGGACGCGCCGGGGACGATGCTCAAGCGGCGGGGCGTCGACGCGGAGCTCGACCTCGGCGGCGGCGAGGCGGTCATCGAACCGGCGGAGGACGCGCCACCGGCGGCCGCGGGCGACCCGTCGGCCGGCGACGACGACGACTTTGGGGGCGACGTCTTCGCGCCGACGGCGCCGCCGGCCGCGGAGCCCGCGGAGCCCGCGGCGGCGGCGCCGGCGGCGGCGCTGGCGCCGCCGGCGGCCGCGCCGCCGCCCCGCGCGCCCGCGCCCTTCCAGGGCGGCCCGATGATGGCGCCGCCGCCGTTCGGCGCGCCGCCGCCGTTCGGCGCGCCGCCGCCGTTCGGCGCGCCGCGGCC